AAAACGTGCCCATTCATCAGCATTAAAAAAGTCCCTATTTGGAACATCACAAATGGGCAAATTAGGCTTGGATCACCACACACGTGAAAGAGGGGAGCAGCAGCTCTTGTCTGAGCCCCTCCTGGTTATCGGAGCTTCTCAGCTTATAGCAGCCTGAGCAAGGGATGGGTGGGCGTGGCCAGTTCCAGCTTGTTATTTTTTAGGTGACAGAGCACTGAAATGGCTTATTCTGGAAGGCACTGAAATTGTCCAAAATAAAACTGGTGGGCTTGTTTTATGTGAGAGTAATTAAGTGCAAGGAACTTAATAAACATGTATTATTATAGGAAAAATGTCACAATATGTCCCCTTTAAACAAAGTAGGTGAATATCACACGTTTTTATTTGATGAATTATTGTTCTATATTGACTTCAAGTCAGGGCAAAGATTGTTTAAAGTGATAGATCAGATATTTTCAAGGTCTTCCTGTGGAAATGTTACAAAAATATTACCTGCTGTAGATAGCCCAGTGGAGAGTTTCATTTAAGGGAGGAAAAAACATCATTTTTCTTTTTACAAATCGATGAGCTACAGGCTAATTACAACATGGTGAAGACCAACATGGCATACGGCCATCCTAAAACAGCAAAAATCTTTCAAAAAACATTTTATCATTTAAGCAACAATATTTTGTATTATGCAACCATAATTTCTACATTAATTCTAGGAAATAATCAGTGGAGATAGCCATTTCTTCCAATTCCTGTTTAACTTCAAACTGTTTCTACAGAAATAACCAGGTAATGAAAAAAAATAACAGACGTGTAAAGGTTTAAATTGCTTTAGCATGACTTGATATGATCCTTTTTATATTAAAGTAGTTTCAAGCTGCCACTCTGGAGCTGGTCTCACCCGTTCACCAGCCCGGTCAGAACCTTGCTGTTCTGGAGGTTAAATCACGACCTCTGCTCGTACCAAGCTACAACTCAGTTCTGTCATTATGTGATTTAATTTCTCTGTGAATGTGACCAGCTGCAAACTCTAATCAAGCAACATTGTTGGCCCTTTCTGCTGGACAGCAGCCTGAAGGTATTTGGCAGTTGAAAAGTTGAATGGTAACAGCGACACAAATGTTTTATCAGCTTCCAGATTGTTGAAGTTCAAGGTTGTTCTTGACACTCAAAACCTGCCAGAAGGTGATCTTGGCATCTGTAGTTGCTTAGAAATGGACCCAAGACACGGACACGTGTAAAAACTCCAGGTCTCTCTCTGCTCTGCAATGAGTCGCTCTGACTTGATTGGACGAGCAGTTGTTTTTTTTTCTTTTTTACAAAAGATGGGAGAAACGTTCACGCGATAAATCACACGCTCACAAAATTTCTCTATGCATAATATTTATAATTCTTTACAAAATCATAGGATCACTCCTCCCAACGCAATTAAAGCCTAATTTGTCAGTGATCTTTGTATTTCTGCCTGTGTTTGATGAGAACAAGGCCGGCCAGTGTCTGTTTCTCTCTGGGACGCGTCTCTCTTCATATGACCTCTCGCTTTTTGATCTTTCTTTAAATGAATTAAATAAAACAGCTGAATAGGATCCTGGAGCCTGAACATGTGCTTGTCCTCTTTTTTTATAACTAGCTGAACTCAATTAGCTCATCTGATTTCTGAGAGCCTTTTGTGTTGTGAAAGGGTTAAAAGAATGAGTGATGGTGAATTCTGCTCTGTGAGACCATCTAGAGAGTAGCTGGAAGTGAATTAGAGCAGCCTGCTGCCGTGCCTCGTACCAGCCCTCCCACGGGCACGCTCAGCCACCTGATCTGCCTCTGCAGACGCAACCCGCTCACAGATACATCAGATATGTGTTCCTCCACAACAGAGGAGCTGTTCTTCTTCTCTGTTAACCTTTGCAGTGACACAGAAGAGGCACTCCCGCTCGCCTCGACTGTCACCTCGCCTCCGGACGCTGCTCCGGCTGTCTGATGGCCGTCCCGGAAGTGCTCTCTCCTCTACCCCTGACCTCTGAAACTGGTTTCTGCATAAACAGCTAATTGGCTGGGTTTCCTGTTTAGCCTCATGGGAACACTGACTATTTCTGTCTGTTTACAAAATTCTGCCTGTCTCTCGTTCTCAAAAACTGCACTCGGTGTATTGTTTATGAGAGAACAATGCGCTTGACTACGACTGAGCTCCAAACATCAGGCTTTGGGGACTTTGCAGAACTGCTCAGGCTCTGCAGCTCTTTTGTGTTCCTGGAAATTTGTGCCTTTTGTCTGTTGGAGGGATTCATTCAGCTCATTTAGCGGCTGTTGTTTGTACAAGTCACCTTTCATGTTCTTGTAAACAGATTGTCATACTTATTGAAAAATGGTGTTCAAAATATACAAAGTAAGGTGTTTATGAAGACAAATGCATCTAATTTGTGCACGCATCATGAATATTTATACTTATCCTGGTATTTCAATTAACAGGAATATTTGTTCTTAAGGACACTGAAGCTGAAACACATTTGGCACCCAAATAATCCTTTCTCAGCATAATAAGCTGAGTCAAAAAATGAATTAGCAGTGCCTAAACCATCAATCTGTGTTCAATTAAAATGGCTTGTGTCTTTGCCAGATGTGACTTTCTCCTCTCCTATCTGCATTGAATTATTCAGGCAGTTCCGGGTCTTCTGTAGCTTTCATCTTGGGCCTGCATCCATTTATAGAGAGGGGTTCTTAGCCTAAAGTCAAGTGAAAGACCTGACAGACTCACAAGTCACGGGTTCAAACTCAGGCTATGGCCCAAAAGGACAGCTCTCGTCCAACATGCAGTCTAAAATGTCAAAGCTGTCTTAGATTTATCCCAATGGCTCCCTGTGGATTTCTGAACAAGTCTCAGTTTCTATTTTTTACTCTAGCAAAGCTCTACTTCTTGGAAAAGTACATTTTGATGACACAACATCACATAAAGATGTGGGGAAAGGGAATTTTTGTACTTAAATGGACAATAAAACAACTTAATAAGCTTTAATTTCATTATTACAGTGAAATATATCCTGTTTCTTGATCGTAGACATGTTTAATAATACGTTTATTTTAAATAATTCTACTATTTAAAAGTAAGCGGCGTAGGAAACTTTGGCTTTTTGAAAAAAAGGAGTCCTGATATTGTGGCAAAGAGGTGAGTCAGCCCAGTTTATCCCAACATACCAAGATATAACGGTTAAATGTGGCCATTAAGTGAGCTGGAAGGCGCAGAGCTAAAGGCGTTTTTATTGATGTGGCAGGAAACGGGGGGGGGGGGGGGGGGGGGGGGGTAGCTGCTGCTGAATCTGTAAATCTCACAGACCGCTCACTGTCAGCTCCCACTTTTAAAGGCACACACACTGCTTGGCTCTCCCGATTAAGAATGTACTTAATGTCACAGACAGCTCATTAAGCGCCATGTGGTGGGAGCAGGGCCGATGTGAAACTGAAGGGTGTGTTAACGATAGCAGCCTGCTGCCAGGGCAGGGCTCGGTGGATCCAGACGCTGTTGTGGTTAATTTGTGGAAATCAGTCTTCCTAAAATAACCTTTGCAATATCACAGATTTGGGTTATGGCTGAGTAGTGACACATCAACACGGACATTTTCTAGTTTTATTGGCAATTAAATCCTTCCTGAAACTCTTCTTGCATGATTTGGAGGGCTTCACATCAGCTCCCAGTCTGTTCGCAGCTGGCTTTTGGTTTTATCCACCCAAGAGTGACAGTTCTATTTTTATTGTATAAAAAATGAATTTAAAAGAACTCTTTTATGAAATAAGAGTGGTATGGAAGAGGAAAATTGCACTTCATGGACATCCGAACATCTGCAAGCGTGCATATTTTCCCCAAGTGTGTTTCTGCTAATGTCACTGTGGGTCCAATGAGGTTTGAGAAGCTGTGACTCAAGAGTTACAGCTCCACATTTAGCAAACATTTTCTCTGCTAGGTGGTTCATGATGGGTTGCAAGGATGATAACAAGCTTCCAAAGTGTAACAACTACTTTGTAAGATCGAGTTCACTGTGAAACAGTTTTTTACTTGTTACTTGTTAGGAATATGAGTCACTATGACATTAACATGCAGGCTGAACGTGAAAATAGTCTTCTACCCATTTCCTGTATTAGCCTCCGATAGAAAATAGATGAGAAAACGTTTGGGTTAGCAAAGCAGGTCAATTCCACGTCACATGATCCAATAGCATTCATGGACTCACCCATCTTGGCTCATAACAGGAAAGAGGAAAGGCTGTTGTTGATTTAGCGTCCAGGAGGGAGCCGAGCATGCCGTGGCTAGTAGAAGCTAACTGTTAGCATTAGCAACTCCACAACATGGCACAACTCTTTCAGGTTTGTGTTATTAATGGAGATAAAACATCCACGTTACAAAGTCAGTGGTAGAGTCGTGTTGCTGTTAGCCAATCAGAGGCAAGGTAGCAAAATAACAGGAAATAAGACCTGCCATCTGAAGCTCAACTTGGCTCACTTCTAGCTCCTGAAACAGGAGCTCCAGAGCATTTTTCCCCACAGGAATCATCTCACAAGGTATCCATTTGTACTAAAGATGATTGCAAATGAGTGAACTTGGGCTTTAAAAAGAACGCAGAAGTCCAGTTTAATCTGGTTTGATAAAGAATGGGCCATCAGTTCAGCTGGTTACTGAAAATGTAATCTGCACTGTGTCCCACAGTTCTCTGACCTTTGACCTGATAAGAGCCAAAATGATTAGCTAGTGAGCAAGGGGATCATTTACAAAGTCTGTGCCATTGTTATTTGATCTATTAAGTTTATTTTGATGCAAAAGTTTGTGATGATCGAGATCACAACATCCCTCCTAATGTCGATGTCCCACATTTATTGGAAAAATCTTTGGCTAATCTCTCATGTGACTGCTGCACCTTTGGTTTTCATTAATCTTTTAATCTTTTAAGTTGTTGCCGTGTGTTTAATGAAATCTGAACTTTTATTATCCGAAAAACTGGTGCATTAACAAGATCTTTTTTATTTTGCAGGATACTGAGCCACAACAAAGTTCGTGTTCTGAAAAGTGGATCCTTTGTTGGACTTTCTTCTTTGGAGAAGCTGTGAGTAGTCGATTAAACTCCCTTTCTGGAAAGGCTTTAATGTCTCGCGTGTCGTTTCACTATTTGATTCCCGCGATGTGTGTTGCTTCTGGTCTGAGTCAAACAGAGATGAAGTAAATCAGAGAGATTTGAGCCGATCTGAGCAGAGCTGTGTGCGTTTATCAACTGATGGGCTTCCTTCCAGCAGGGAGGATGATCCACTCAGACTGGATATGTTGAGAACTTCACATAATTACACTTTGGTCCTTCATTACTGGGTAAACTCCACTCCACGAGACAAGATAAGAGATATTTCTGGCAGGAGGTTCGTGTTGGCAGCTTTCAGACAGTCTGGCCCTCCTTAACACCATCCTAATCTCTATGAATGGGGTGTTAGACAAGTGACAGACAAGATCGCTTCTGAGGCTATTATGTACGACATTGTGCAGATGGCTTCTGATGACTATTGGAACTCATAATGGAAATGTATTTTGCTCTAATGAAGCACTAATTGCTAAGAAGGCTTCCTGACTTATAGGTTAACTCCTCCATGATTTGATGATCTACAGGAAATGTCTTTTGATGATCAAAGGATTAGAATCTCATAGGTGAGTATTCTTTTGTGAGACCCTAATCTTGTCTAGTTTCATCTAAATCTAGTTTTTTGGCTGAGTGAGGCTTTGCAGGACCACATGTGCAGCTCCAGCGCAGATCCTGCTGCCTGACTTCTTTTGTTGTGCAGGTTTGTGGGCATGCTGGAGGTATATTACTACCACATGCCAGTTGGAGCTGCCACCCATGAAGCGAGCAAGCTTCTCAAAATCATTGACAGAAAGAAAAATACAGCAATATGCTGCAGTCGTTAGCTTGTTAGCTCTTACCTACTGGAGCTCACACCAGACGTGCCAGTTGAGAACAAATGCCAAATTTGCAGAGTTTTATTTTATTCTATTTTTTGCATGAGAACACCAGGGGTGTGCAGTTTCAAGGCCAAGTTACGAGTTCTCACCACACCAGTCTCACATCAAGGATGCAGCTAAATCTGTTGACAGGAAGACTGCATAACAGGATCCTGATGGTAACGCAACGTGGTATACTTGATATAAAAGTTACACCAAAACAAAGCTGTGACTTAAAGGCACAGTGAGTAATATTTTTACTCGTTTATTATCAAATATTGTGTCTCGCGGTCATATACTTGTCCTTTTTCATTAATTATTCTCACCAAAGTCAATTGCAAATATTCCTACTATAGCTTCAAAATTTAGATTTTTACACATCAACGGTGGTCGGCGCTCCATAGTCATGCTCCATATTGAAATACCGAAGCTGTTTAGGGACATACAAGATATGATGCTCTGTGTTTTACTTTTGCGTTTTTACGTGAAAGTCCTTCTCCCTCTAAAGCTTGGTTTATGCTTGACGCATTCACTTTCCGTTTGGTGATGCGGCTCGCGGATGGAACGTGCTTCACAACTCGCAGCGTTTATGGTTCATGCGGCTTGTCTCTGTGGTGAGCCAATATTCTCCCAAACTGAACGGGGCAGCATCTACGGCATGCATCCAACACTACACCATAGTAGAAGTAAAAATTACTGTTGTTTACAACATGGCATTTCAGCATTTTTAACAGCGTCCTCGTCTTTTCCGACAGTGCGAGCTATTTCTCTCCAAGAATTATTAACAACATGTTGATCACGGTGATCTTTGAGAGCTGAATCATACAAATGTCTGTATTAACGAACATCTGCCATACTTGTTCTTGCCAGTCCGCCATGTTTTTCTCCGTCCAACCGTCCGCGTGGTTAGAAAATTTCCTAGGTGCGCGGTGTGGAAAGTTTGGGCCGTGCGGAGGCGCGGTGGGGGGCGTGGTTGTTAAAATGACGCAATTTTGCCGCGCAGAGCCGTGCGTACCTCGGGACGTGTCAAGCATAGACCAAGCTTATCTGTTGTGCGGGGTGGTGCTGATTCTCTTTGTGGCAGCCTTGCTGGATTGGGGAAATTCTGCTTATTCCCTTTGGGTTGCTTGCCCTGCGCTAACTGCAGGTGATCGCTGGATTGAAAGCTGGAAGTCGATTATAGAGTAGACAGTAGACCCATAATAGGCTGGGAATATACTTGCTACTAGTATTCCACAAGGGGGCATGTAGAGTATTCATACTGGATATGGCACTTACACATTAGCGACCGGAATTTGGTTTCACACACAAGTCAGATATGTGTTTTTTGGTCCGAGGCAACTCTTTTTTTCAGACCTGCTCCCCAGCGGTCAGATTGGGACCAAGGTGACACTACGGACTAACTGGTTGGCTGAAATTAAGCATACCGCCTTCGACTGGCGAGTAGAATCAGCCAGCGGGGGTTCCCGCCTGCGCGATTCATTTTCATGCGGGATGCTGTTAAGTAAAATTATCTGCCTGTAGCACGAAGCTGCCGATCTGTGGGAAAAGGAGAAGAGTGTGAGCTGTGTGTGTGTGTGTGTGTGTGTGTGTGTGTGTGTGTGTGTGTGTGTGTGTGTGTGTGTGTGTGTGTGTGTGTCCCTGTCTTCTACATCGGAGCTCTCACCCCAGCGACAGCTGCTCAGTGGAGAAAGCAGTGTGTGTGTGTGTGTGTGGCCCGCAGCAGCGGAGCACAAGATTATGAGGACACACACAGCAAACTAATAATTTAATGTGGTTCAGAGTCTTCAGAGTCTCCAAAAGCAACACAGCTCATGCCCGCTTTTGTTAATCTTACTATAGAGGACACCGCAGAATTTCTCGCACGTATTAAATGCCGCCCACGGGCTCTGGGATTTCCGTATTCCTGAGAAGTACTTCGCATTTATATGTGAACACTATGTCACACTCTGTCTTGTCTCCCCGTTCTGTTCAGTCATGTGTCCCTGTTAATTGCTCCCACCTGCCTCTCGTCACCCAATGACCCAAGCTCCCAGCTCCTCATGTATTTAAACCCTCTCAGTTCTGTGTGTCTTGTTGGTTCATTGTTTCAATGTCCTGCATGCTCAGTGTTATTAAAGACTCTTTAGACATTCCAGTTTGCCTGCCTGCCTCCTTCTTCCCCTGCATGCGGATCCTCACCTCCGGCTCAACTCACCTGCGCGTCGTGACACACTACACCGCCTGTACCAGACTGAACTCACGCCATCCAGCCCCACCAAGCCCAGATCATACGACGCTAATGTGTAAGCGCCATTAGAGTCCTGGGTTTTTGGGTACAACCAAGACAACAATGGCGTTAATTGAAGAAATCAGTAACTGGTTAATTTTGAGATCCCAACAGAAAAAAAGACAGCAGTGGGATCGCAGATACTGTGAAACACCTCTAAACCAGAGACGGTGTGTCAATGGCAAGTGTCTCTGGCTTGTTTAGTTAACTCACCCTACCAGTCACTCATATAATGCAGCTTGTGGACTTGTGTTAATTTCAGAGGATGTGCAGAAACAACGCTTCAAACAGAAGCATAATTACACAAAGCTGCCATGATGAACATGCCTATGCATAATTAAAATAAAGTGTATTCTGGCCCTTAGATGCAAGGCAGGCATGGCAGATGCATTAGAAGCAGCAGCACTGGAGGGAGAAGACTTAAGCCTGGTTCATGCTTCTCCGTCAGCTCCACAAGGGACAGACACGCACGGATTGACGGAAGCGTTTTGCTCTCATACTTCTCCGTCTCCTGGAGAGTGTTGCAAAGCAATTGCCCGGCAGGACAACAGAGGGCGCAGCGCTGTTCTGTTGTATCCTGTCATGTATCGGTCCAAGATAGTGTGTTTATATATATATTTTTTTTTTTTGTATATAAGAGACTTTTTAACACGGACATAATTGTCTCTCATTCTCCTCCACCTCTTCATGCGCTCCCCACCTCTAAACCCACATTTCCTGTCATTTCCGTCCACAAATAAAATGCTTCCTGCACATCTTTTCACTCATCCAGTCACGGGGGAATTAAACATTCATGTTTTTAGAGTTTTTTCACGAGGTATTCTTAAAGCTTCTCCGTGTCTGCCGCTTATTATCCTCGGCTCTCTTTATGTTTTTGAGGGCGCAATGGCGGCGCTGTAGATAACAGCGGCGTCCTGACCAATCAAAAGCTTGCGTTGTCCGTCTCGACTGACGGATGTTTAGAAAAGAGAGCTCGACTTCGTCCGTCCTTGCAGAGCTCTCCGGCAGACCCGCAAGGACGTTGCGTGTCTCCGCACTGACGGAGACGGAGAAGCATGAATCAGGCTTTAGCTGACGCACATGACTGATGAGACCCATTCTACACATATTCACGGGACACAGACAGAAGGCTCTCCATTCCACGAGAGAAACTTTGACTGCAGGAATCAGCACAGCACCAGAAACACTAAAGAAAACGTACAGATGGCTGAAAGCTGGTGTGTGGTGTTATGTGTGTGACCCCCAAAGTAGCTGTCAGTGCTCGTGTCTTAGTCTAGAAATTTATACCAACGGTTGCTGAAGCCAACTTCTTTTGTTCTGTATATATTCACAAATACAAGATGGCTTGCCAGCCTAGCAGTGTCTATGACACATTGCCTTTCTGATGCTTGTGGGCTACTGTAGCTGCAATACCTACTCTGAACTATGTGGCGCTAATGAGTCAAATATTTTTACACATCAGGGCTTTTAAGTATTTCAGTGTAAAATAAGATGATGTTGCTTTTTGTTTTTACAAGTGCAGACAAGGCTCCTTACAGGGTTGCAGGGTCAAAAGGTTGGGTAACCTGAACGTGGACCATGTACCTGAGGCTGCGTTGAAATAGGGTGGAGTTTTATCAAATGAAAATTTTTGGTGAAAGAGCAGAGCGTTTAGACAAACTACGACAGATGTCCACACCTACTTGTGGTCCACGGTGGGAGGTGAACGCATCTGGTGTAAAGACGGGATATGACATGAATCAGACAAGTTTCATTTTACTCCTCTGCTTCGACCTCTGCCGGATCTCTGACACACATCAGTGGAGGTCTGCTCACTCCCTCTGACGTATTTAACCTTTAATTGGGAGTGCCAC